TTGGATTAGATAATATTCAAAGACTCCATACATCATAGGAAAAGACTAATGAATGTAGAACTGAGTGAAGAATTTGTATAGGCAGCTTGCAGTTGAAGAAGTCAGAATTTTTAATAAACATATGAAGAGAATCTTAACCTCATGTAGTGAAATACTGTGCCACGTACATCATATTGACAATGAGTAATAAGGTTGATAACATCAAATACTAGCAAAGATGTGGGGAAAAAGACCTAATGTGTGGCTGGTGGGAGTGTAAATTGGTAAAACTATTTTTGAAAGCTATTTGACAATACCTAATGAGTTGGATATGAATATATCCTTTTCTTGGTACCTGCTCTAGAGAAATTTTCAGACATGCGCAGGGAGGCATATAGAAAGATGTACATTGCAACACCATTAGTAATGGTGAAGGATTAGAAACAGTCTAATCTACCTAATTCCCTCTCTCTCTCTCTTTCACACACACACATACACGCACGCACACGCACACATTCTTTTTTCAAGTTATTTTCTGAGCCATTTGCAAATAAATCATAGTTCTTAGGGCACCTACCCCCTAAAGCTATTTTTAAAACAAAGTTCTGAAGCAGATACAGAAGAATGTTAACATGTTTGATTTCTCTGGTAAGAACCTATAGATCTGTCATTTTCTGTACTTGCCTATATTTGTAAGATGCTTAAACTGGAAAGTAAACATGAAAAATTTAAAAAGGAACATGATATTTGTTTTCTCTCTTTTGCTCTGTTTTCTTCTTTACAAGCTTTTTTTTTAATTCCCCACCTTAAAACCAAGTGTCTTTCTTATTTACCTCTTGTTTGACTTAAATCTATTATGTATCTTCGGTTTTTTTCCTTACATGATTTAAAGTATCTCTAAGGCACCATTGCGTGTTCAGAGTTTCTTTAGACATCTCCTTGCTTAACTCTGTTTGTTACCACATTGAGCTTGTTGGGCGTAAGCTCTCAGTTGTTTCCCTACTTCTTTGATATTAGAGGGAGTTAGGATTGATGATTGGAACTTATGTATTTCATGACAGGAAGGCTTTGCAGGGTTTGTTTTCTTAATATTACTCCAACTGTCTGTCTTGGTATGTAAGATATTTATATGTGGGGAGGGATGTTTGTTTGAATGTACAACAGATACTTATAATGAAGATTATATCATGCACTTCTGAGGGTTTCTGAAGCATGTAATAAACAAGTTTTAATCTTTAAAACAAAGACTTGAGGGGCCCCCTCAGTCTACACAGTATTTTTAGCCGCCAAAATAAACTCTCTGCCCAAGTCAAGCTCACATTACGTGTATATACTTCAAGTTCCCTCTTTTCTTTCATCTGCTTCTTTGGTAAACAGATGGCAGAAACTTCCTCTGCCTGATCTCCCCATGACATACTGCAAATTTAGCTCAGATGCCAACTAGCTGTGTGTCTTTGGCTATTCATAGAAAGGGAGGGTTTACCTTTCTTTCTTCTGGAGAAACCTAGGCCTTTATGGGTTTGAATCTGTTTGCAAAGGGCTATTTGGAATTGCAGATACAGGGTAATGGAAAAAGATGTCTGTTTTTTGTGATACTTGAAGAATCTGTTACAAACTACTCCAACGAACCATTTCCAGTGTGTGTTAATCTTGCTGTGCTTGCTATTGAATTATTTTCTCCTCTTGTGTTCAGGGGTGGCTTAGAGACCAGCATGACCGTTCGTCAGCTGTTGGTTGTCACAGAGAGTTCACTTGGGCAACAGATAGAAGTGCATGCAAATGGCACAGAACACATCACTCAGCCTCTCTGCCGGAATGCTGCTTCAGTCCTGGCCCGGGCCTGGATTATACTGTTGATCCAGAAATTATACCCTTATGTCATTAAGGGTGCCCTTAAGATTTGAAGCCAGGAAGCTAAATCTCTGACATGTTTGCTGTCTTGGGCAGGTCATCAGGCTATTCAAGAACTCAGATTCCCTGTCTTTTAAATGGTGATAAGACGTAACAACTTAGTTCTGAAGGGTGTGTCTCCCCTGATATGGATGTTATGCACTTCAAGTAGTAGAATAGGTTAAAAGGTATTTTGAAGAAAAAGTTAAAAGCACTCTATAATTCCCAGATAGGTTTTCTTCCTTCTAGACACCCTAGGGGTATCATTGGCCTAAAACCTATTTTTACTATTATGATTACTAGTATTCTCTTTTCCCCAGAGCCTTCCCCCTCTTCTACCATTGCATTCCCTGCTCCATTTGTCTAGCTTATGGTGATGTAGAGTGGCCTTAAACTTAGGCAGAGGATGAACTGCAGACTCCGGGATAATTTCACCTGATGGAGTGCGGTGGTGACTGTGGCTCTGTTATTCAGCCCTTGACTCGTGATCCTGTATGTCAGTCAGGTTACTGACGGGGAGCAGGTGTTAGCAACCCTTGGTCAGTAATAGAAATGACAGTTGTTTGGGTTGAGGTCTTAGGAGCACATGGAATTGTTTGTATGATTCTGCTGCTTCAGAGAACCAGAGGACTGCTGCCTGAATACAGGTCTTCCCTGCAGTTACCTGTCCGTGGCGTGTCGCTGAAGGAGATGAGCAATTGGCATAAATGTACTAGGAGCTACAGGAAACTTTTAAATGTATAATTTACAGGGGACACTGAGATTTACAATCAAGAATTTTTACAGTGTGATCTCACATAACACACCCATGTTATAGTATAGAAATTTTAGTTTGAACAAGCCACATCAAAAAAGTGTCATAAAAGGGGTCGCAAAATCTGCAAGGCCAGACATATAATAACAGGCCAACAGATTTAGATATTAGAGTTTTCTTGGCTTTACTTGAGGCCAGATTCTCAAACAGAGCACTGACTTTGCTTCAGGTCAAATGAAGTCATAATTTGGGTTGGGTTAGTCCTTATAGAAATCACTTAGGGAAGGTTTAATTTGTTGAACCAAACCCTGGCATCAGCTCAATTCACAGAACAACGTATAATTATATAACTTTTATCCCAAGATTCAAGAGAAACTTTTTAGTAGCTATCGTGGGGGTTCAAAAGGAATATGAGGCTAAAATGGAAAGTGCTTGTAGAGATCTCAGCAGACGAAACAAAAGTAGAAAACATTGGTGGAAGTCTGGTCTCAGTTCCTTGTATAATTTATCATACAAGTTAATACACTGGATTCTCAAATAAGCAAACGTGTTTTCAAATACTGAATTTTCATTTTCACAGAGAGGGCGATATAGCTAGCTGTAAGAGGGTGAACCATGGTTGTGTATCTCACTGAATGTTCCAAGGCACACCATCATTTCACATGGAATAGTTATAAGACTGCTCAGTTGCCACTTATCGGTAGTCATAACCTGCAGCATACACTGACAACAGGAATTCCTAGTTAATGCAGGCTCTTCTTTTTATCCACTTACAAGTTAGTGCATCCCTTCATGAAACCTACCAGAGTTCCCAACAAACAGATTGGTTTGAAGATAATTTCTTGTCACGTCCCCTGCTTGCCATCTGTTTTAGATACTGGTGAGCCATGGCATGCCTAAAAGCAATACTCTGAAAGAGACTGAACCCGAGCAGAGGGCTTGGACTGTCAGAAAAAGAGAATAATATCCTTGGGCTCATCAAGGGTTGTTAGGTGGATCCTATAATCAAGTAATCACAGGAATGATGATTAAAATTAATAGTGAATCCATGAATCTCCGGAAACTAAAATGCATGCTAGTTTGAGGAGAAACCTTAAAGGTAGCATACAGACTTAGGTTACCAATGTTATGGAGCAATCAGTGGAAGTTTGTGGAAAAAACTGCACACAGAACAGTTCAGTCCGGCCAATTTCTGCTGAGCACCTAGTTTGTTGCTACTATAGGGATAAATGGGAGCCTTTAGCGTGTGAGAGTTCTCAGTCTTGGAGGGAAGATATCACACAACTATCTGTGCTGATGGCAGTAATGGCTCTGCCTGGAGCACTTGCTGTGTGTGGGCCAAGCCTCATGCCTGCTGGGCCTTGTTTACCTACATTATCTTGAATTCCCTTATCACTTCTCTAAGGTAGATATTATTATCTCCCATATTCAGATGGGGGAAGCAATGTTTTTTCCCCCTGCACGTTATTGTGTGGCCTCTTAGCACAATATGTTAAATGCCATGCCAGGGACTTAGACTGGAGTCTGACTGGTGAAGATCTAAGCTTGCCTCTGGTATGTACTTATGGGGTCTTGAGGAAATTTCTTAATTTATTTGAGCCACAGTTTCTCATCTATGAAACAGAAATACTAATGTTTACTTCAACTCCCAGCTTCATTGTCAGCATCCTCAGAAAGACCTTACTTGACCACTCGAAGGAGTTTTATTCCCACCTTCCCAGTTATATGGTCCCATTACCCTCTTCTAATTTTGTTATAGTATTTATCACCATCTGAAACAATCTTATGTGTCATTGATTTACATGACTATTATTGGCCACCCCACTTGAATGTAAGTTTCATGAAGCAGGGCTGGGCCTTGCACAGTCACCCTTCTGTCCCCAGAAATTGGTTCTTGGCACACAGTAGGCATTCAATAAATATTACATAAATGGAAAGTGGTCTAGGCAACAGGTAATGGAGATGGAAAAATGAAAATGACATACTTATGTTTAATGTCTTTGGGAACAATTCAAGAAAGAAAATAAACCATTGAAAGCTTTGAACTATGCTGTTAAGATAGGTAGAAAGATTCAAATTTGTTTTTTCAGACATTACTGAAGGTTTGAAAATAAATTCAGTTTCATCATTCTGTGCATGATGGTCCATTCTTGACCTGAGCTGGCCTTCCATAAAAGGAGCAGGGAGGCCAACAGGATACACTGACACAGAAAATGGAATATTCTGTGCATGTGACTGTGTGAGATGCTGGGAGAAATGTATAACCAGAGCTCACCTGAGTAGGTGTTTTTCGCCTCAGAGTGAGTGACTTGTCTTACTATGTTGACAAAAGGCACCTCCAACCACCACTGACTTGTTTGTTTTGCCATTGTTTCAGGATGCTGAGAAGCGAACTCCACTTCATGTGGCCGCATTCCTGGGAGATGCAGAGATTATTGAACTCCTGATTCTTTCAGGTAAATACCAGCTGTACTGGTGAACACACAATACAATGTGCAGATGATTATTATAGAATTGTGTACCTGAAACCTATATAATTTTATAAACTAATGTCACCCCAATAAATTCAATTTAAAAGGTTTAAAAAAAGAGAGATTTTGAAAAGTTACAGTGCCCTGGCCAGTGTGGCTCAGTTGGTTGGAGCACTGTCTTGCAAACTGAAAGGTCGTGGGTTCGATTCCTGGTCCAAGCACATGCTTGGGTTGCAGGTTTGGACCCTGGTTGGGGTGCGTATCAGAGGCAACCAATCAGTTCCTCTCATATTGATATTTCTCTCCCTGTCTCTCTTCGTCCCTTTCCCTCTCTAAAATCAATAAGCATGTCTTTGGGTGGGGATAAAACTAACTAACTATCTATCTAAATAAATAAAGAGTGTCCTTCATTATAAAAAGAAAAAGAAGTTACAGAGATGTGATAGTTGAGGTAAGAGGATCATATCTGATTCCTCACTATTGGATGTTCATTTAGGTTTTTTTTCAGGTTATCACGTTGCCACTCAGGAAATGCAAGTATAATCTCACCTTTACGGCTTGAGATAATTGGTGAAACATTTGTGCATCTGCATACATTTTTATTTCTGCACACACATGAAAATGTGGGTACACATGATTTTCTCCATTCATATGTGTTTAATATCTAGACGCTGGAAAAAGAAAAGTCTGCTTTTTCTTTTTTATTACCCTTGGCAGATTTGTGAATATCTTCTCATATCACATCAGTTTCAAGAATTGAAATAACGTACTGTTAAATATGTAGAGAATGGCTTAAATGGAGCTTTGTTTCTTCAATAAATCTCAGATTATTATGTGGATGAGAAAATGGCATGTAAATATTTTAAGTCATTTAAGTGAATAGGAGGTGTCGAAGTTAGACACCTTTCATATTTTAAAAAAAGAACTCTTCATATTTTTTCTTTCCCTCTTGAATATAACACCTTAGCTATTCAAATAATAAAATTATAATAAGCTTATTAAGAAATAAAAAAATCAAACCAAAACCAAAACAAACAAAAAATACCAGCTGTACTTAAAGTCCACTGCAGATAAAAATTTAAATGACCAAATTACTAGATTGACTACTCTAATGAACCCAAACAAAATTTCTTTATTGTGCTCATGGAAGTTTACTTAATCAGTGATTTTATCAGTAGATATAAGACAATGCAAGAAGTTGTTTATTGAAAATGATGTCTCTAATAAAACTTTTATATTGTTTTGAAGATCTGGGATTTCTGATTATGTAATTAGGCCCAGTACAGTAGATAAATTCAGCATATTCGAGTATGTTTTTATTTTTCCATTGTAAAAAAAAGGAATAAACAAGCAACCTGGCTTCTTAAAATTTATATGAACAGACATAAATGTGTGTATTTTTATATATTTGAATTGTGCTGCAAAACAATGCTTTGTTTTGTTATGGATATGTGACTATAATAAAAACATAAAAAACATGGAAGGAAAGGAAATATCAATTTCTGGATAGTGTTTACCTCTGAGGAGGCAGGTTGAGTGAGATGTTTTTAGGAAAGGATAGAAAAGAAACTACAACTTTGTAAAATATTTTATTTTCTAAAAATTGGAAGCAAATATGGCAATCACGTGTTAAAAAGTCTGATTTGTGTATACACTGGTCTTCGTGATATTATTCTCTTTATTTTTCTGTGGACTTTAAATATTTTATCTGCTTTACAAATACCAATGCTTTCATTTCTGGAAACCTCATGCTTGGAACATCTCACCAAACAGGTTTCTAAAATCAATACATGGTTTCTCCCTCGAGCATTTGCCAGGCAAGTGCCCGGAATGAACTTGAGCACTGCCATGTGTCTTAGAGCAGATTGTATACAGACCCACTGGCTTTCTTCCTCCTCCTTTTTGTTTGGGAAGATTAAAATCTGGAGGAAATGCCTCTGCCCTCAGACTACGCAAAACACGTATACAAGGTTTGGCCTTTGCCATGGTAAAGGGAAACTGTCAAACTCCTAAGTAAGCGACACAAGGGTAGGAGCTGATGCATGTATTTAAGCAGATGTGGAGAACATTGTGGAAAAGAAACAAGAATTGTGCTGGGATACACAAGGAAGATGCACAGTGCCCTATTTTTGTTGTGTTCATCTTCTGGAGGTGGGTTTTCTCAGGAAACAAGTATTCTGAGCCTAATGACACATATGCCCTGTGCTCCTGCAGTTGCATGGAAATTAGGTTAGATTTTGCGTGGTGTTCCTTATGTTCTTGAGAACAGGCCTTCCTTCTGACAATTCTAAAGACATCCCAGGGCTGTATTGCAAGCAAACATGCATCATTTGGTGCTGGCACAGACAATGGCTAAGAGCCAGCACACAGCTGACTGGTTGCCCCAGCAGTAGAAATTTGGCCCATGGAAAATTGTAGGCAGAAGTCAGCAGGGGTGCAAAATAAAATAATTTTGTCATATGATACCTAATGATTCCAGCTAGCTATACTCAGCATGCAAATGCTATATTAATAGGCATCTCAGGTCTCAGAGGAATGTTAGGTTCATGACTGCAAATTCAAAACTTTGTCTTAGACACCCAAATTTGGTGTTTGTTTGTTTATTTTTCCACATCTGGAAGGGAAGGTTTAATTCTGCAGCATGAAGTTGACCATCTGTTTTCTTCAGGCATCTCGGAGTTGGTGACTGAGAAACTTGGTTTCACATCACCTCCACAGGGGTGTGGAGTTCACTAGCCCCTTAAACGTGGCTCATTCGGTAGAGCCAGGAGAAGCCGTTTAGTATATCTTGATCTGCCCATCTCTTTGATGTTGGAATTACTGAGTTGTTAAGCTCTCTAGTGTAATTTTGGGTGGCACATGCCATGGAATTTTTCTTCCTCTTCCCATCAAATTAGAAATATTTAGGGTATGAGAGACCATTGGGAAAGTTCTTCTTAGAAATTTTACTCAGCTGTGGAAGCTTAGGTAAATGCTTGGAATTCACATGGCTTTAATTTTCCCTTAGAGTTCCTGTGTCCAACTTGTATATTATACGCCTAAGGAAATATCACTGTAAGAGCATGATTATTTCATCTCTCAACTTATGTCTGGCAGCTGACCCTTTAGGGAATCCAACCAAACTGTTTTCCAACTTAATAATGAATGAGGTGTTAATGATTCCCATGTTGGACAAATAATTTGACCTTGCCAGAATAGCTCCTTACAGCTGTGTTCTCTATTGTATTAACTTAGAGAGTATAGTGTAACCCAAGCCCACTTAATTCCTACTGACATTATCTCCTATTAGCCAGGCGAATGGAGCCCTGAATGCCTCTGAGCAGACAGAGAGGAATTTAGGCCTCACTAAATTCCTTTTCTTATTACTGCCAGACCAGATTCTGGCTGTATTTCCCCACACCTGACGCTAGCTTCTGTTTGGGAACTGGCCTTGTCAGACTTAAGTCAGAGAGAAAGGTCAAGAGCTTGCTGAATTATTTGCCCAGAGACGTATGAGTGAGATCAACATGAACCAATTAGTGGATAAGAGTTAAGAGGCAAGGGTTGAGTTAGAGGAACCAGAACACACAGAAAAATGACCATGATGGCAATAGCTTGTAGAGAAAAATTGGGGATGCACAAGGGTTAGAGTCCTGGGCTGAAGGAAGGAAACTGAAAGGACCTACCTTCAAGCATGGGAGTGTTTGTCAGGTGTAAGTACTAATTAAAAATAATAAATTTATCTGGATGTAGGCTACCAAACAAGCGGTATTCCTGTAAAGTTGTGTCCTGTGATTTTTTAAAATGTGATTTCTACTCCCAATGCAGTTTGTCTCCAGAGCCATGGCAGGTCATTCTTTTGAGTCGCTTATGCATAATGTTACAGGCTCTCCTTGCCAACACAGTAAAGAATTACAGATCAGCAAGTCTATTAGCGTGCAGGCAGGTTTATTGGTCATATTTTCTCATGGAAGAGAACGGGCCTTGCTGAGGTGAGGGAGAAAGGCAAGAGCCCCAGGTCCTTTCTTCTGAGGACTTACACAGTTGGCAGGACAGGGGTGAAGAAGTTACATATTGATTGACAGGTAAAGGTGATGCCAACTTTTGTGGGGATGGGGCATGAGTGCCCAAAGGTATTTATGGGCTTCTTCCTTTGGGTACTGTGAGCCCTTTCCCGCCTTTCAGGCCTTGGGATGAAAGCACAGTTACAAAGGCTTTCTTTCCCAGGTAGTGGAGATAATACATAGAATTTCCAGGATTTCTCCTGTGTTAGCACAGAGTTTCTGGTGATGCTGGAACACCTGGCAATATTATCAGACCAGGCCCAGGACTGCTGAGCTGGTGGGCGAGACAGGCCTCCATCCTTCTCCCACCTTGGTTTGCTGCCTATCCTACCTAACAGTAACAAATACTCATCCTTTAAAGCTGGATTTACTTTTCCCCTACAGGTTAAAGGGAGTGATTAAGTCAGGCAGTGCTGACTTTGGCCCCCAATGTGGTGTGATTATAACATGATGAGCCACTATCTGGTGGGTATGTAAACTGGCTCCAGCCCTGGCTGGCATGGCTCAGTGGGTTGAGCGCCAGCCTGTGGACCCAAAGGTCACTGGTTTGGTTCCCAGTCAGGACACATGGCTGGAATGTGGGCAAGGTCCTAGGTTGAGGGTATGCAATTGGTGTATCTCCCCCTCTCTTTCTCCCTCCCTCTCCTTTTCTATAAAAATAAATAAATAAAATTTTATAAAAAAAATAAACTGGCTCCAAAGGCGAGTGGAGTTCTATAGTGTTCTGAGCAATTGCCACATATGCAGAATTATCATACATGCTTCCAAGGTCATTGCTTTAAAGGACACTCCTCCTGGGCTGTGATAAGATTTAGTCTGTTTATTAAAAAGAAATCAATAGTAAGCTGCTATCGTTATATTATAGTCACATTTCATATGATCTTTTGTTTATATTTATTTCTGCAATTAAAAGCCAAACTTTGGATAAATCAGCCTTAAGAA